TTTTCATCTATTCTTTTCTAGTTTTATACTCTCAGTATAGAAAATCTCCTTCTTATTTTTTTATATTTTTTTATAGTAATTATATCGAAAATCTTAATTTTATTTCTTAGTTTTCTTTATTAATAGTATAGAGAGGAAATTTCTTTATGCCAGACTTTTTTGTGACTAATTGGTTATGGATTTTATTATTTAATGATAATTCCCTTTGTGTCGGTACGTCTGTATTACGTTTATTAATTAGATTGTTCTTGCTTATGTGAAGTTAACTTGAATTAGAATAGTTAGATGCAGGTAGGGTGTAACGAATAAAGCATATTGTTACAGAAATAACTTATAATCTTACTTGACGATTTCAAAGAATCATACAAGATTTTATTGCCGGAGCATATAAGAAACTTGATGTAAGACTTGACATCAGATTTCTGAGACAACAATTTTTCGTATGATCTCGTATGATCATATACAATACTTTGTAAGATCTGATAGAATCATACAAAAATTCATGCCCGATCTTACTATATGATTTCTCGACGTGGGAACTTACGACTAAGTTACGACCATATACGGTCGTATAGTACAATCGTGCACGACAGTCGTTTATTTGCAACGTATACGTTGATCGTACTTGAACGTATGGCATCGTGTACGTCCATCGTATACGATCGTCGTATACGATGACCGTTTCTAGACGTATTTCGTCGTATACGATCGTTTACGATCGTGCTTTTTTGACCTGGGTATATGTCGATCAACTATAATACTTGTATAGACATATAACTTCACAACTCACACCTTCAAAAATATACAACTCTCTGATAATAATGATAATAATAATGATCTGTTGTTCTAGTAACGAGCGCGAAAAGATACTAAAAACAACAGAGAGAAAGAACAAGCGAGAAACAAGAACTAGAAGTGAATAGACGATATTACACAGGTAACGACACACAGTGCCGTTACACCCTCCTCCCCTTGTTTACATAATCATTAGTATTTTTTTTATACTAGACATTTGTAGAAAATTCTTTTCTGTTTTAGTCTACGTTATCTTCGAGCGATCCCTACTCCCCCTTAACATAATCAGACGTTATTATTGGCTAACCTCTCCTCCCCCTAAACTGGATAACGTAATACTTGAATAGTCCCTTATTAACTATTTCAAATCATTTGAGTACAGCGTTAGTACGCGTAATAGAGCTAATTCTACCAATGATCACTTTCAAAATCTTCGTGTAATAATTATGCACAGAAAAAAAGAAGTAAAATCTTACTAGGAGGTCAATTTCCTCACATGTCAAATCACCTTTTCCACGTTTATCATTACTTGCTCTGAGTCATTTTTTACACTCCAGTTAATTTAGCTGAAGTTGAACGGTCTATTTCTGTTTTAGATTTAGTGGTTACTGCATGTGGCTCCTCTCTCACTTATAATGCTATGAGTAACATTTTTGTCTGTCAGATTTTTCGAAAATATTTTTGAAAAAAAAAGACAGATTGTTTTTCTCAAAATTAATGTGTATCTATTTCTTTATTTTCCTCGATATTAATACTTTTTACTTCATATTAAATGTGAAGTCAAACCTTACATCATCAATGTCTCCACAATGTGAACATCTCATTATAGTGAACAATCTGAATTCGTGCTGACTGATTTTTGCTCAAAGTCAATCATTTCTTATTGAAAGCCTTCTGATAATGAAATATGAATGGTTTGCTTCTAGCTTCGAACAACTAGAAAAAAAAACTTCCTGAGGTCAATTTTTTTGTTTTACCCCTTTTCCTATATCCTCTGGTGTACAGATAAGAAAAACAAATATTTCTGTATAATGAACACTTTTAAATGTATTCTTGAATGTTCACATCAGAAAATTTTTACTTGTATCATCTTAATTGATTTCATTGACTCGCTGGATCTTCTCTGAAGAATAATACTTGATTATATAATATTATTATAATTATATTGGCTAAAAAATGTAGACAGGTCTTGGCAGACAGGCTGAGGAAATAAGATGACAGGCGCAGGCAGCCTGAAGAGGGTATAGGCCTGTCACAGGCAGGCCAAGCCTGCAAAAGGTTGGCCTAGTTGGACCTCTGATTTTTATCGTACTTAGTGCGAAAATATAAAGTGTTTTTTGCTGTCATAGTTACGAAGTTTCCAAGAAAATAAGATAAAAAAAATTAATGCTTTTTGGTATCATCTATCAGCAAAAATTATTATTGTGTCCGATAAATTTCATTGGACAAAAATAATATTTTTACAACTATTTTGTAGCTATGACTTTTCCTCTTTCTTATCATACAAATCGATGACAACTTTGGTTTCAATTTCTTGATTAAATCTTGCGGAAACTACCTAAATATACATTATGACTATATTTTGTTCGAATAGATTAGATTGAAGGTATTAAGATCGATTTGAAAGTAAACGCAAATTTTCTTCATATACACTTTAAGATTTTTCATCGAATCATACAATGCGAGACAATGCATTTCATCCATACATAATGTGTACGGTTTATCTGGTTTATAGATAAAACGAATGTTTTCGATAACTGATTTTATACCAGTGATGATTAAACTATTAGAGTAGTTACACATCTTTTTTGTTATACAAATAAATACAACAATCAATTGTCTTCTTCATAATACATAAGCAAGATATGACCGATGAAATATAGGCAACTCTAAAAAAATATTCGCTTTGTCGACATTGATTCTATATTATATTACAAGTATATGATGATTATTATTCATAATTTTTGTTTTTTTCTTTTGTTCATTTTAAGATGACAACATAAAGAAGAAAAGTTTGTTTATAAAAAGTAATTAGACGAATTTGATCTCGTCAACAACTCTCTTTCATTTATACTTTTGTTTTACATATGCATATAAACTGTCGGTCAATGCCAACATTGTTGTTCATTTTCTTGCCGTCAAATTTGCTCATAGATTAATTGATTGTCGAGTATAAAATATATTCTCTCGCAATAATTTCTATGGTATAATTCATTTTTATTCGAACAAAATTTTATCGTATGATTTATTTCTACAACATGAATTCACTTACACATATTGAAGATTTATCAAATGAATTATTCTTTGAAATATTTGATTATTTACATGCATTAGATATTTTTACTGCTTTTAATTCATTAAATAAAAGAATTTCATCTATTTTACAAATAATTCCACTTCGTATTATTATATCCTATGATCATTGTCATCGTCAAATTGATTTTCTTTCTTCATATCTTAATTTTCATTCGCATCAAGTTATTTCAATAAAAACTTATGATACTATTCGTGATTATTCATCGATTATTAATTTATTATTTAATCGACATTATTTTATTAATCTTCAATCATGTATATTTCTTTCAGTTAATCCTTCAACAAAACTTAGAAATGTTATTATACAATTAAAAACTCTAAATAGACTTATTTCATTTCATATTCATCAACCATATAATAAAAATCTACATCAAATTTATAAATATAATTTAACTCGAACTCTATTAATGCACAACTCATCTTTTCTTCGTTCAATTGTCTTACAATATCCTTATAATTATTTCGATATATCAAATTATAGTTCAATATCTTCAAATCTTATATCACTTGAATTATTAATTTCTGGTTCACCATCAATCGTATCTGTTTATTCAATTTTACCAATTCTTCGTCTTTGTCATACAATTCGATATTTAACTATAACAGTAGAACATATGCATCCAATTGGAAATGATCATATCAAGTAAGTTGTTCAATTAAAAAGTAAAAACAAAAAAAATTTTTTTTTTGTCTTAGTTTTTCAAGTCAAACACCATCTATTAATGAAAATGATCTTCCTATATTACCACAATTAACGTCTTTTAATTTAACAATTCTTGCTATATGTGATATATGTTCAATTTCTTATATATTACGTTGTATGCCTAATCTTATTCATTTTCATTTTGTTCTTGCGACACGAAGTGCAAATTGGCCATTTCCTCATGAATTGCTCGATGGTTGTGTATGGCAACAAATATTAGAATATAATGTTCCATGTTTATCGAAATTTGAATTCCATATGTCAATTATGAAAAGATATCCAAAATTAAATTTAGATAATGTTGTCAATTCATTTGAATATTTTTCTAAAAAATATTCTAATTGGAATATGATTATTGATCGATGGATACTTTTTCGTCGAAATTCAGGTAAATTAAATTGATTTTAAAAAAATTCCAAAAAAAAAAGAACAAACTTAACGAGAAACAATGAAGATTTACAAAAACGTACTCATTAAGGTCTTCCTCAAAAATCGATCTTAGACAAGAAATATTCTAATTGCATGAAACTTCCAGGATATGTTGGAACTAATGTGACAAGGCTATGGTAAAATTTTCAGTCCTATATCATGACGTTTGACAGATATTCGCTAAAAAAGGATCGAAAATAGCACAGTTGGCAAACCAAATATCTTCTCTGTCCAGACTCAATCTACATATTTAATTTTTCTGTTTGAAAGAGCATGTCAGGATTCAAGATGCCACAGAGTTCTTTTTAAATTCTTACTTTTCAAGCGAAAAGAAGAAATCATAAGTTCAATGACTCAAAAAACTTTAAAAACTGGTGTTGTTTCTATAGAGGTGTTTTCTTATATGATAATAAAAAAGTTTATTTCAAAAAAGAGTCACGAGAGTCATTAGAGTTAAACAAAAGCTTTCAAACAAAAAAAAACAAGTTATTGACTACAATGAAGCTCGTTCTAGAATTCTTAGAGATACGATCAGAAACCTTAAAAACGAGAAAAAAAAGAATTTTTGGTTTTTTCTAAAGAAAGCTTATTTTTCAAATAGGAGATACTGGAAATTTTCAAAAATTTTCGGAAAAAACGAGGTGTCGAGTAAAACTTTTTGTCGTTTATGAGAGATTAGATCACGAGCTATCTTCCCCATTCAGTTATCTTGATTTCGATCATTCTAATGAAAAGTGACTTTTTTTAGGAAGAGCTTAATTTGTTTGAACTTAACTTTTAACTAAAACATTGAAATTTAAATCATAGAATATTATTGTCATCAATAATCGACTAGGTCTCTGTAAGAGCCAGTCCACATAGGGCACGACCGATTCCTATAGAAGCTGCTCTATTTGAGATATGTTGTAGAAGAAAAATTTTTAACAATTTTTTTGAGGACATTGCCAAACAAACACGTTTTTTAGCAACTTTTAATAACATTTCTCCGAAAATACATCAATTTGACTTCAAATTATCACTGTGTATACATCTCAAGTTGTATGTGTTAAAATAAGTGAAGTGTTGATGAGTTGATTACTACTACCAGATGCACGACAAAATGGTTATTGTTTTATGTTTTGTGCATACATATATCTCATGAATGAATCATGTTGGAAAGCTGAAATTATGAATATAGAGAGATCTCATTGATTACATATTCTGATAAAAAAAGTAAGTTTTTCAAATAGTTTCTATCGTTCAGGATGCCTACAAAATCAGGATTTGATCTTCGAAAAAATGAGCTTTATAGAAGTAAGGTTCATGCGATTTTAAAGTACATATTAAGTATTACAAAAGTATATATTAATTAATCTAGGATCTTGTAGAATGTTCAGGAAAGCTTTATCGAAAGGTATTCAAAACTGACTTCTTTCCTATACAAAATACACTCGACTTCGTTGAGAAATTGATAGAAAAGCTTCATCATATGAAACCAATGCTAATCAATATGAATCAACACATGGTTCTCTATTGACTTTCATAAGAGTCCTTTTGAAAAATGACAAAAAGAATTTTTTGCACAATCTCCAAAATAGAAGTACAGAAACTTCGAAAAAAGTTGTTCCACTCAAAGTTCTCGAGGAATGAACGAAGATTTAGCAAATTTGTTTTCCTTTTAGTCATTTTTAAAGGACTTTCATGAATATGAATAGAGGATCATGGGCTGATTTATATTGAATAGAATATATTTCATATGATGAAACTTTTCTATCAATTTCACAACGAAGTCGACAATATTTTGTATAGAAAAGTGAACATTTTTGAATACCTTTCGATAAAGCTTTACTAATCATTTTATAAAGTTCCAGGTCAATTAATGCATAACTTTTTAGTACTCAATGTGTAATTTAAAACCGTATGAACCTGAATTCTATATATCCTAGTTCTTGAAAGATTAAACCTTGTCAAAACTATGATCTCATGTGAGATAGGAACTATCTAGACAACTGAAGTTTTTTTCAGATTACATGATTAATGGAATCTCTTTATATCCATAACTTTAGCTTTCTAACATGATTCATTCATGAGATATGTGCATATACAAAACATAAAACAATAATCATTTTGTTATTCATCTGTTAGTACTAATTGACTCATCAACACTTCACTCATTTGAACTCATACAATTTAAGATGTATATGTCGTATCGAAGTTACACCAGTCGACGAAATTATAACTTCGACACTCACAGCTATCGAAGTTACAACTTCGACAGAGAAATTTATCGAAGTTAGTTCTAAATCACTTATCAATAAATAATTTACTAAATTGAACATACAACTGTTGAGTATATTATCAGAAATAAATTTTTTTCTAATAAATATTCGTTTATTTAACAATAAAGATTATTCACAAATTACAAGAAAAACAATTGAAGATTTAGAATCAATAATACATATTGTTAACATAAATTATTAGAAATAAATTATAGATAAAATACAATTAGAACGAAATTTTACATTTAATATTATTTATAATCGTATGCTGTCGAGCTATGACAACGAGAATTACACAAGAAATTGCAATATGCATTATCAATAATTGTAGATGAGGTGGGTGTTGTTTAGAGATTGTCAATTTATAGTTGAGGTGATTGTTACTAATAAAATTAATTCTTTTTTCTTTTCAATATTTCTAGATGCATTTGTTCTAGCAGAATATAATAAAGATAAAACTTTCAATTGATAAAACGTTGAGTAGAGTTGATGGATGAACATTCGTTTTACACTTATATTGTCAAATAAGTGAACGATACTAATTCAACTCGGACATATGTTTATCACAACAACAAAAATAGATTTTGCTAATCATAATATCCTTACTGAGACTGTGTTGGATTCTGTTTGAATTTTTAATTATTTTTATTAGATTAACTTTTGTATTATTAACCCTTTCCAGCCGGCTATCAGAAGACGGGTAGCAAAAAACTCTTTTGGTGCATGTTTGTTGCTCCTAAACCATGGAAATAGGAAAAGTTTATTTTTCCGAACCAATAAGTGCTTCGACATCTAATGGTCGGATGTATCCATTTGGATACATCCGACCATTAGGAGACAAAAATTTTGAAAAGCTCATTTTTTTTTGTCTATCAAAATTCAATATCTTGTGGTTTTTTTACATATATATCTGTAGACGTAACCATATTTTGTCTGTTTGTCCATGTTTTGTAGACCAAAGCTTAAATATTTTTAGAATGTTCTAAGAGTCTCCAGTACAGTGCAAAATTAGCTCAATTTTTCCAGAAAATTTCTAGAAATTCAGGAACATTCTAGCGATTTTCTGAACATTTCGTAATATTCTAGTTCGGAATACTACAGAATGTTCAGAAACTCTCTAGAATGTTAATAAATTTCTAGAAATTTTCTGGAAAGTTAGAGCTAATTTTGCACTGTACTGGAGACTCTTAGAACATTCTAAAAATATTTAAGCTTTGGCCTGCAAAACATGGACAAACAGACAAACTATGGTTACGTCTACAAGTATAGATGTAAAAAAAAACCAAAATATTGAATTTTGATAGACGAAAAACAAAATGAGTTTTTCAAAATTTTTGTCACCTAATGATCAGATGTATCCATTTGGATACATTTCCATTTTTTATTGTTTGGATTTTTTGAATAATCCGTCTTCGTAATGCAATACACAATAGATCTACAAAGGAAAAGTATGAACTAATTGCTTCGAAGCTAGATCATTTAGAGACACGGAGAAAAGGATTATTTCTATACGTATGCTACTTTGGGGCATTGTGAGTGGAACCGGTCATTTTCTTAGTGAATGTTTTTTTTTCTTCTAAACGCATGAATGTGTGTTGAAACGTGTTAACTTAATTATCCAATTGTCAAAAATTTTGATATCATCACAATAAGTCAGTTCTTCGTCAAATATTGGCTTAATATATCCAAATGGATACATCTGGCCGGAAAGGGCTAACATATGTTTTATTTTTGAAGATATCAAACATGTGTACATTAACTTATGAAAATTTTTTAAGTGATTTGATTTTATTTACAAATAAAGGAATTAATCTCTTATCAATACAAGTAATTTTTTTCACGTTTATTTTCATATAATCTGTTATGTAAAGCTATAAGTTTATGATTTGCAAGAGATCGATTGATCTCCGAACTTACCAGAAACGAACTTAATAGAGATGAAGAAACTTTAAATCAATAACCCATTTTTTTTTCTTATAATTTCTAAATAATCTTTATCGTTAAATGAAGGAATATCTATTAGAAAAAATTTATTTCTGATCATCTACTCAACAGTTGTATGTTCAATTTAGTAAATTATTTATTGATAAGTGATTTAGAACTAACTTCGATAAATTTCTTTGTCGAAGTTGTAACTTCGATAACTGTGAGTGTCGAAGTTATAACTTCGTCAACATTGCACGACGAAGTTCTAACTTCGACAATATTCTTAACGAAGTTAGAACTTCGTCGACCGGTGTAACTTCGATACGACATGTACATAGTAACGATCTTAAGCTAAATCGATGCATTTTTAGTGTAATATGAATATTAATAAAAAAAGTCATAAAAAATGTGTTTTCTTTTGGCAATAATGTCCTCAGAAAAATTTAAATAGTTCGAGAACGAAATAGTATTTTTTCCAACAATTTACGGAAAAATTCTTAAAACTTTCTTCTACAACATATCTCAAATTGAACAAAATGTAACAAATCTCAATTGAGAGACTTGAGTCGTGGCTTTTATAGACTAGCTAAAAAAAATCAAAGAAAGAATAATTATTCTCTTTATAACTTCAGAATTTTTACTTTCTAACTTTTAAATTATATTCGAAATTCTTCTATTCATTGATAAAAAATAAATGATAATAAAAGAACTTAACCGATTAAAGATGTTAATTTTTCTTTTCATATTTAGCAAAAAAAAAAAAAATTTTGTTAATATTTAAACATATATGTGTTTTTCTTTCTCTTTCAAAAGAATTTGTCATGTTACGAACATCGAACTATCATAAACATAAATCAAATGGATACGTAAATATTCCTTTTATTTTTTGTGGATCATTTGAGACACGATCAACAAGAACAACAACAATAAATGATCATCATCTTTTTTATTCAAATGAAACAAAATTAGGATTATGCTTGTTAAATAGACAAATAATTACTTGGTCTTGTCCTTTATTTCAACAAATCAAATATCTTGTCATACAGCTTGTATCAATACAATCATTATTATCGAACAATCTATGCGATATTGGTAAGAAAGATTTATATTCGTTGTTTTGCTTGTAAAATCTATTTAAGAAAAATAATTCGTTTTGCTGTCAAATATAAACAAATTTGATTTCTTTTTCAGTTAATTCTCGTCAAGAAAAATTTAATGATTATGCAAAATTAAGTGTTGATTGTTTTTCACATTTTGTCCATTTATCTAATGTAACGGAAATAGAATTTCGATCAGCGTTTGGTACTACTCAATGGAGAGATATTCAATATATACTACAGTAAATATTGCTTATATGTATTGAAAAAAATATCTCATTTTTGAATATTCTTAAAAATCTTATTTTTTGGAACATATTTAAATCGATTATATAATACTTAAACGAATAAGAATTTCTATTTAAAAAAAAATTCTATTCTATTTTAGAGCATGTCCAAATGTTATTAATCTTATAATTAATACTGAATATTTACTTTTATCAGAATTAATCGATAATGAGTTTCTTATTCCAATCTTCAAGCAAATTAAAATGATCGAATCAATAACACAAAATATTTATTTTCCTTTAAATTTTGCATCAAAATTTCTTGAAAGTTTTCCATCACTTAGGCATATTAAACTTCAAGTAGACTCATTTGATAATTGTGTACATCTTATTGAAATATTTCTTATTCATTTGACAAATTTATCTTATCTTAAAATTAATTATAAACATAATGCATTATTCGATGATCCTTTTACATGTGATTATATTATTAAAAAACGTCGTCAAACATTTCCTGATCATATTTTCAATGAACAAAGAATTAATGTTAAAAATAATGGAGAAACTATAGAAATTTGGTTATCATGATTTATATATATAGAGATTTTTCTTGTGGTTGTGTAAATATTATTAATAGAATAATTATGAAATAAATATGTCTCTAGATTATTATTTTTTGTTTCTCGACGACCATCGAGTATTTTTCATTGTTTATATCATTTTCACGAGTAAAACAATGGGAGAGTAAGTTTGAATTGATGAGCTACGTATCATTTTCAGATGAGAAAAAAAAAGATGACGTAGGTGAAGTTAGCACCAGATTCGAGTAAATCCTGCCAAGATTCGCTCAGGAACATGTTCCAACTGTCCCAGGGTGTGTTCGAAGTACAACTCCATGAGCTCTATCGAATGGTGTATTCTAATCCCAGATAGCTCAAACACAGTCCAAGAAAACCAGAAAATACTAGATTTTCACCATGGGCGATTTTGCATCCATCTACTAAACCTTGCCAAGATTCGCTTAGGAGCATGTTCCAAGTGTTCCATTCGTGTTCCAAGTACAACGTAATGCGCTCTATCGAATGGCATGTTCAGATTTTCCAAAACTCAAACTGAGTCTCAGAAGATTTGATAATACTAGTGTATCACCACAAAAATTCTGGATTTTATGCAGTAAAACCTGCCAAGATTCGTCCAGGAGCTTGTTCCAAATGTTCCATTGGTGTTCCAAGTACAACTCAATGAGCTCTATCGAATGGTGTATTCCGATTTTCGATA